ACAAACATTCACCCCATAGCAGAGGGGGCATAGAATGGAGCTGTATAAATAAACATAAATACATATTCCAAGAAACTGCCAAGGCTCCCACCTTTCTGGACTACTCTTTGGAAGTCCCTGAGAGCCAGTTTATCCAAGGCTTTAGAGTCAAGCTCTGTCTCTGACCCAAAAGTCCATGGCCCAGCCTGACCACCCATCTTGTCCAGCACACTCAGCCTAAGTGGCAGTGCCAGGATTCGTATCTAGATCTGACTAGGAAGCTTCCGGAGTGAAGTCTACCCAGGTCCCCAGGAGACTCAACTCTTCTCACAACTTGTAATTACATGATTATATATTTGTGACTATGTGTTTACTGTCTGTCTCCCGAATTGGCTGTCCGCCTTTTGCTCACCACTGTATTCTCAGGGCCCAGGCCTCTGGAAAGGTCCAGGAGAAGTACACTGTTCAGTTTCCCGGGACCAACACGCCCCCTACATAGGCCCCGCCCCTCCATGCAAGCCCCACCCACTCACCACAGGGCCCCAGCCTTCAACACACAGCCCCGCCCACTCCTCAAGAGGCCCCGCCGCTCCCCGGGGTGCCCGGAGTGGAAGCAAGAGTGCCGGTGGCCTGTCAGACAGGAGGGACAGGAGAGCAGCTTCCTGCTTATTGATCGCCCTCGGAAATCGCCCGGGGAGGAAGGGGAGCCCTGATGTCGGAGTTTGCCAGCTTTCTTAACTACAGATGGTCCCGACTTACGATGGTTCCACTTTAGGATAGTGCGAACGCCGTAAGAATTCAGTAGAAACCATACTTCGAGTTTTGAATTGGGATCTTTTCCTGAGCTAGTGATATGCCATTGGATACTCTCTGGTGATGCTGGGCGGCGGCAGCGAACCGCAGCTCCCGGCCAGCCACGCCATCACGAGGGTAAACAGCCGATGCACTTAGCACCACTCTGCGCCCATCCAACCATTCTATTTTCACTTTTAGTACAGTATTTCAATAAATTATATGAGATATTCAACGCTTTATTATAAAATAGGCTTTGTGTTAGACGATTTGGCCCAACGGTAGGCTAATGTAAGTGTTCTGAGCATATTGAAGGTAGGCTAGGCTAGCATATGATGCTCGGTAGGTTAGGTGTATTGAATGCCCTTTCGACTTAGGATATTTTCAACTCACTATGGGTTTATCAGATGTAACCCCAGCCTAAGCTGAGGAAGACTGTACTCAGGTCTTGCTGCTTTCCACGTATCTGCCAAGTTTGGTGTGCCCAGGGCCTAGCGAGGAGCACAAGAGTGGCCCAGGAGTGGGCGGGGCCTGTGGGCGGGGCCTGAGTGAGAGGGCAGGGCCTTGGGCAAGAGTACAGGGTCTGGATGAGGAGAGGGCGGTGCTTGATGGTAGGTGGGCGGGGCCGTGAGAGACACGGCGGGGCCTAGTGTGGTGCTGGCCTGGGCAGGCTCTCCTTGCAGTGCTCTGCCAAGATTCCATGACGGACTAAGACACTGCTGGGTGAACAGTCCCTGTCTGACCGGTAGCCCCCTCCAACCAATCCATCCTCTACCATATGGACGCTGAGCTTTCAAAAACGTACATTCTAGGGGCCAGCCTGGTGGCTTAGCAGTTAAGTGCATGCGCCCCGCTGCCATGGCCTGGGGTTTGGATCCCGGGCATGCACCGACACATCGCTTGTCAAGCCATGCTGTAGCGGCTCCCGTATAAAGTGGAGGAAGATGGGCATGGATGTTAGCCCAGGGCCAGTCTTCCTCAAGAAAAAAGGGGAGGTTTGGCAGATGTTTGCTCAGGACTGATCTTCCTCACACACACACACACAAAAAGTACATTCTGACCGTTGTAGTGGCTCTTTCCTGCCTTCAGAGTAAAATCTGAATCTTAAATGCAAGATATAAGCACCTTTATTCAGTACTATTTCAAATCAACTCTTATTATCACTTTATAGTATTTTCTAAAAATATTTAAGCATTAAGATACTTTAAAAAGCAACTCCTATAGGGGCCGGCCCAGTGGCGCAAGGGGTTAAGTGCGCGCGCTCCACTGCGGCGGCCCGGGGTTCACAGGTTCGGATCCCGGCATGCATCGACACACCGCTTGTCAGGCCATGTTGTGGCGGCGTTCCATATAAAGCAGAGGAAGATGGGCATGGATGTTAGCCCAGGGCCAGTCTTCTTCAGCAAAAAAAGAGGAGGACTGGCAGCTGTTAGCTCAGGGTGGATCTTCCTCACAAAAAAAAAAAAAAAAAGAGCAACTCCTATATATGTGATGAAATTGCCTAGAACTACATACACACACATGAGTGTATGTAAAACTGGTGAAATCTGTATAAATTCAGTGGATTGTATCAATATCGATTTCCTGATTGTGATATTATACTATAGTAATGCAAGATGTTTTATGTCTTACAACTACATGCAAATCTATAATTGCCTCAAAATAAAGTCTTTTTTTTAAAGCAACTCAGATTGGTTATATAACAGAAAATAATTTCTATTTTTAAAGCATATTTTTATGTATACCTTGTGTCCCCTGAAAGGTGCTTGAGGGCAAAAATCAGGCCCGGTTAATTTTTGTAATAGTAACAGTAGCCAGTAATTAGGCCAGGGCTTAGGACAGAGTACAAATGAATTTCAATGAATTCCCAGGTCACAGTACAGCACCTAACTTAATAAATACACTCGCCAGTGTTAGGCTCTGGGAAGGCAAGGGTCCTTGCCTTCAAGGAGCTGGCAAGAGGACACAGAGGATAAACCCACAAATACAATATCACGTGATCAGTGCAGTAAGGGAGGGAAACAATGGGTTCACTGGGAGCATTCAGAGAGGGCTTCCTGGAGGAGATGGAGATATAGCTGATACCTGACAGAGGCAGGCTTACCTTGAACTCACGACATGCTGGTTAATGGCCGAGCAGCATCCACGCTCTTACCCACGACACTTGATTGCCTCTCAACATTGATCGTATCTGTAACATTTATCAAGAGTTTATGACTAACAGCACTAGAGACATTATACTGGCATTGTCATTGAATCCTCATAACAAACTGAGGAGCCAGGTACTATCACTGTCCCTAATTCACAGACGAGGAAGCTGAGACTTGTCCAAGAGCACACACCCCATCAGCAGAGGGCCTGGGGAAGCCTCAATGAATTGTTTCCCCTCCCTAGGATGTTCTGTGTCTGTCTTGCATGCAAAGCTTTACAGGGGCCTTTTCCTTTACCTGCACTAGAACCCTTCCTCCCTACTTCCAACTTGCTCATTTCTGCTTTATTCTAAAGCTCAGTTCGAGCATCAGCTCCTCTAAGAAAGTGTCCTTGTCACTCTCTTCTCACTCTCCAAGGCTGAGGTGGGTGCTGTTTTTCCCCTCAGCATCGTGCTCATCTCCATCTGCGCAGCCCCAGTCAGGCGAGGTTGCGAGAGCAGGCTCCCTCACTGGACCATCTCTGCCTCTTGACTGAAGCGTCATGAAAGACATGGAACAGGTGTTGTGAAACAAACCTCGTTGTTTTAAGGCTCTGAAATTGTGGAAGATGTTTGTTTCTGCAGCATATCCTACCTTATCCTAACTGATACACCCCTAAATTTCTTGAGTGGAAGTGGGGAGAGAGATTCAATCTTTTCCTGGCAGAAAAGATAGGAGACACCTAGACTGCTAACAGCCATGCTTCCAGCCCAGTGGAGAAAGCTGACCTGAGAAAAGAGAAGCAGGGATGGGGAGAGGGTGGTGATAAGCAGCGATGCCAAGTTCTGGGTGTCGGTGAGGCCCATCTAGACCTGTTTCCTACCGACACGTGAACCTATAACACCCTGGGCTGTCTCAGGTAGTACTACAAAACATGTTAAACCACCGTGTGACTGAGTTCCAAGAAAAAGCCCTAAAGCCACAGAGAATCAGAACTGGAGTAAACCTCAAAGACCCAATTCTCTGAGAAACGAGTGACCTGGCCACAGTCACTTAAGAGCATTATCAAAAGAATGTAACCGAGAAGCACCCGGAAATCCCGATTTCCAGAGACCCAAGCCACAGCACCGGCTCTGCCTGAAAACCTCATGCTGGGAAGGGAGCTGGTAGAGACTCCGTTTCTAACGGCCTAGTTCAGGGTCTCCTATTATGAGGGTCTCGGGAGAGTGAGTGTGAACAAACCAGAAAGCTATTTTTAAGTTGAAAAAAGGAGCGGCGGGGGGGAGAACGGTGGAAACGCGGGCTCTGCGTGCCGGGAAGGCAGCCCCAGCCCCCGCGAGGGGGGACACAGGCGAGAAGGAGATGCGGTGCTGATGCAGATGAGCCTGGGGCGGGGGCGGGCGCGCGCGGGCACCGGCCTGCGAGCTCGTGGGTGTGAGCCCTGGAACAGCCACCCTGGGCTTCCAGGCCCTCATTTGAATCTTTAAAAACCTGGAATGAGCTGAGAAAGAGGCATGCGAGAACCCCAGCTCAAAGGACAATGTGCTCAAACCCCAGGCTTTCTGGACTCCTCCGCTTGTAGCTGTGGCAGACACTGTTCCCGGTGCCTGCCCAGTCTCCGCGGCTTCCCTGCGCGCTGCTCCCACCCCGCCCACACTCAGAGCCTTCTCGGTCCCACCTGTGCCCGCCAGCCCCGGTCCCAGCCGAGGTGGGACAGATAGGGATGAAGCGCTGTCACCGCATTTGGCTCTGGAGTGCCACAACGAGGCACCGCAGCCCTGGGCTTTCCAGCACCTTGTTCAAGGCCGGGTGTACTTTGATCCGTTTGCTTGCTTGTTTGTTTATGCCAGTTGAGTGGGTTCTAGCAATGGTTCTTAACCTTTTCCGGGCCACGGATCACTCTAGGAATCCTAAGAGGACGTAGGAACCACGCCCCAGAAAAAGGCACATGTGCACACAATTTGACAAATAGCATCAGGGGAGTTGCAGGCTCCTGAAACGGATCTAAGGACCCCAGGTTAAGAACCCCCAGCCTAGAGGCTGAGGAAATTTAGGTAAAGAAGGCTGGACAGAGGGTCCCAAGACCGTGGCTGAGAGCCGATGTGGTGGAAGGATCAGCGAGATCCAGATTCAAATTCTAGTCCTGGTAATAGCCATGTATGAGAATGTGTGTGTACTGGAAGAGGGGAGGATAACACACATCGAGTCATAAGACATGTCATTAAGTAAAACTTAATAAATTATCATCAAGTGCATGCCTGTGTAACTCCAAGTCAAAAGATTAGAACATTGCCAGCACTCCAGAAACCTCCCCCATACTTCTTTCCAATTGTCAAACATCCCAATTCCAGCCCCTACCCAAGGATGATCACTGACTGTTACTGTAATCATCGCCATGTTTTTCTTTATGATTTTACCATCCCAGTGTGCATCCCTAAACAGAGAGAGCATTACTTTTACTTATTTTTGAACATTGTATAAATGGAAGCCTACAATAGGAATTCTTTTGGGTCTGGCTTCTTTCTTTTAACATCGTGTCTGTAAGATTTATTCTTGCTGTTGCATGTATCTGTGGTGTGTTCATTTCCGTTGTCCTGTAGTATTCCTTTCCGTGACTACTATAATTTAGTTATCCCTTCCACAGTTGAGTGGGGCTATTACAAATAACGTTCCTATGAACATTCTTGTACACGTCTCCTGATGGTTTGGGGCTCACTTTTGGAGGCTCTACGTCCATGAGTGGAAATGCTGAACCATACGATATGGTTGTTTGCAACAGAGCAGATAACAGCAAATGGTTTTCCAAAGTGGATGTATCCATTTACACTGTCTACAGCAGTGTATACAAGTTCTTGTTGTTCCCATCCTCTCTCTCTCCCGCATCTGTTTTCCAGAGGCTTCTAGTTTTGGTCATTGAGGCACTTGGACCCCATCTCAGTTGAAGCAAAAAGCAGACTCCTTGGTAGCAGCTCTTGCGCTAAACCCTTGTGCTCCCGACGGCTCCTGTAGGGCCCACAAGGTGGTAAGCTCTGTAACTCGGATCCTGACTAGCATCAGGCCCTTCCTTGGACTGAGAGTGAAAGGGAGAGTCCAGGTTGACCCGCTCATGGAGGAAGTGAGGGCAGGGGAAGGCAGAATGGGAAGACTCAGGAAACTGGACCAGCATTTAGGACATCCGTATCCTCTCTCTGCATGGCCATTAATTAGCTCTGTTCTTGGGTGAACCCCTTAGCCTCTCTGTGCACCTATTTCTTCCTCTGGGGGGAAAAAAACACTAATACCTGCCTACCTCCTAGGTGGGGGCACTTCTGGGCATCACAAAATGATAGGTAAGAAGGGCAGCAGAAAAGAATTTTAAAATTCAAGTCACCTTGTGGTTTGTATTACTTCCTGATTTTGCTAATCAGAGTAATATACAAAACCACCCCTTCCCTTTTTTTCCTGCTATCTATAAAAATTCTGTAATTGATATTTTACTTCTTAGTTCTTCAAAAAGCCTAGCCAGAGCCTCTGGGGCTTCAAGCAGGGGAAGAAAGCCGTTCTTGTGAAGAGAGGATAGCATATATTCCTACTCTGGTCAAGTGTTAATACCCAAAGAGAAGTTCACTTCACCACTCTCAAGAGACAGCTGGAACCCCCTAGTTCCAGCCTGAGGGTTGGGCCCGCAGTGTCACACACTGAGAACTCTTGGGTGAGGATAACCCCATGGGGGCTCTCTAGCAGATGCCACTTTCATCTCAGGAGATGACAGGGGGAGGAAGCTAAATGCATTTGACACAGTAAATGCCAGGCACCATGTCTCTTTGGCACATTTGAAACAGGCTTTATTATCCTCATTTTCCAATGGGGGAAAATGAGTCTCAGGGCAACAAAGCTTTCCCAAGGTAACTTAGCTGGTTGGCTGCAGACTTCGCCTATTTTTTTCCAAACCATTTTGGAACGACACTTTTAGAACTACACTTTCTTGATTCCATACTGCCAGATCAGGAGTCTCTACAAATGGGAAATTTCATCAAGTCGTCAGTCAAGAGCAGATCGGAGAATCTCCCCATAAAAGCTCTGAGCAGCTGTCAAATGCAGGATAGGAGAGGGGCCAACAGTTTTTAGTTCTGGTCCTTTCTGAGGCTTGACTATATTTCCTGCCCTTGGAGGCCATGAGACGCCCCCATATCCTTCCCATACATTGACTTTTTTGATTAAGCAGGGAGAATAGGTTTTGTTTTTGGCAATCAGATGTACCATGATTAGGACAGAAGCAAATCGATCTAGTTCTTTTCTCTCTCACCCTTCTAAACCCTTCCTGGAAGCCTCGGCGATGATATTTATGAAGTCTCAGACACCAAAAATGTCTCCATAGCTGGTCAAGTTGAGGAGCACCAACAAGTTCCTTCACCCTTGTCTTCCTATAGTAACCAGCTCTGCCGGGTACACACCACACTTTCTCCCAGCTGCTTCCTGGATTTACAGGAAGCACAGCCTAGTGGGAGAAGCTTGGGTTTTGGTATTAGAGTGGAGTTCAAATCATGGCTCTACAGACTTGAGCAAGCAGCTTCACTTCCCCGAACTTCAGCGTTTCCTCAGCTGTAAAATGGAAATAATAATCTGTTAACAGTCTGCTAGGGCTGCCATAACAAATACCGCAGGCTAGGTGATTTAAACAACAGAAATTTATTTTCTCATAGTTCTGGAGGCTAGAAGTCCAAGATCAAGGTGTAGACAGGATGGTTTCTTCTGAGGCCTCTCTCCTTGGTTTGCAGATGGCCACCTTCTCTCGGTGTCTTCACATGGTCGTCTCTCTGTGTGTGTCTCTGTCCTAATCTCCTCTTCTTAGAAGGACACCAGTCATATTGGGTTAGGGCCCACTCTGGTGACTTCCTTTTAATTTAATTACCTCTTCAAAGGTCTTATCTCCAAATGCAGTCACATCCTGAGGTCCTAGGGGTTAGGACTTCAACATTAAAATTTGGGGGGCGGTACAGTTCGGCCCATAATACCATCACAAGTTGTTTTTTAAGGATCTTAGAAGGTGAAGTCTGTAAAACAGCCAGCACAGAGAAGGTATAAATAAGGGGTAAAGGCCTCGAGGCTCAGCTCAGCCCACTCACCTGCCCAGGGATTCCAGCGCCACCGCCATGTTTCCCTGGGGCCAGTGAGAAAGCCCTGAAGCACCTGGCAGAGCAGCTCGAGCTGGAGGCGGGGGTGAAGGTCAAGGTCTCGGGCAGCTGCAGAGCGGCAGCAGCACAGCATGCAGAATGCCTGCATGAGTGGCTTGCTGGTCTGCATGCCAGGGGGTAGCAGTCCCTTCTGCGACCCCAGATCTTGGGCCTTGCTCTGAAGACTGTGGGGAAGAAGTTTGGTGAGGAATACCTTCAAGCCTAGAGTGATAAATGACTGCTTCCACGTCACAAGAAAACACTTTTCTCTAGTAGATGACTTTTAGATATTTCAGACCTTTCCTGTGCCCAGGCACTGTAGCCAAAACTCTACAGAAACTGATGAGTCAATTCAAATAAAGAAACTGGGTAAAGGAGTAGATTTTTAAATAATAATATCTTGCTTCTTTTGGTGAAGTGCTTTGCACTTAAGATAAACAAAAACCTTACCGCCAAATATATCAAAATACTTTTTTTTTTTGGTGAGGAAGATTGGCCCTGGGCTAACATCCGTGCCCATCTTCCTCCACTTTATATGGGACGCCGCCACAGCATGGCTTGACAAGCAGTGTGTGGGTGCACTCTTGGGATCCGAACCTGTGAACCCTGGGCCGCCAAAGCAGAGCATGAGAACTTAACCACTACGCCACCAGGCTGGCCCCCAAAATACATCATTTATAAGTGAATTACTGATGTTTCTATATCTGGAATATCATGTATGTTTTAATTACTTTATGTTTACATCTGAAGAAGGAAAACTTTTTTGTTTATTTAAAAATTTTTTAATATTTGTAAGTTGTTGATCCTAAGATTTTTATACTATAACAAAACTTGTTCTTTTCTCATGAATTTACAATTTGTAAATGAAGACAAGCAAGTATAAAATTGAGGGAAAGAATAGGCTTTACTAACAAATGATGTCTTGACTTTTCTAAATGGGAAGGTTGTTTTATTTTTAACACTAAACATGGGAGCTGTTTCTTAGCAAACTTGGAAAGGTTAATGCTGTGTTGTGTATTAGATTCCTCCATCTGGTGTATGAAGCAGATTTGATTTTTGTCTTTTTTAGTTCCTCTACTGTATAGTTGTGGTTGTACTTTTTAAAAAATACTACATTATTTCATACCTTTAAAAAATGTTTGGGGCAGGCCAGGTGGCGTAGTGGTTAAGTTTGTGCAGTCCACTTTGGCGGCCCAGGGTTCGCAGGTCCAGATCCCAGGCATGGACCGCCACATCGCTTGTCAAGCCATGCTGTGGCGGCGTCCCATATAAAGTAGAGGAAGATGGGCACGGATGTTAGCCCAGGGCGGATCTTCCTCAGCAAAAAGAGGATTGGCAACAGATGTTAGCTCAGGGCTAATCTTCCTCACACACACACACACAAAAATGTTTAAAATCTGACCTACAGAACATTGCAAATGGTTAAAAACAAAGTAATGTGAAATATTACAACCTAAAAGAAGTCTTAATGTCACAAATGTTTTACTTCGATGATATGCCTTTGATTTAATTTGGGGCACTTTTAACAGGAATATTTACGTTTGTAATAATCTTTGAGGAGCTTGGAAATAAAATTTCTGCTTAATTGATCCAAAAAAAGTGGTAAATATTACTTTTATTTGAAGCTCAGATTTTCAGGGACAACCTTATTACATATTCTTTCCGGTTGTTCCTATAAATGGTGGGATTATCTGGACAGTCCAATATTTTGGTATCCAGTCTCCAGAACTGAGGCCTCAGGTCTCAGAGTCTGGTGTGGAATCTGCGGTCCTTGCACTCGAGACCTGGCCTCCAGGAAGGGTGCATGGTGGCAGAGGCAGCTCGCTGGTCCCTAACAGAGGAACTTCATCCCCTCCAGGCTTGAGAACCCTGCTCTCCTGTGCGGACTTCTCGGAGCTGTGGCATTGTCCCTGCTGCCCCACAGAGCTGCGATTCAGGCTGCCCGCTCGGCCCTGCCAAGCTCCCGGAGAGTTCTGGATCTTGCCCGGGCAGTCATCGGCCTCCAGCGCCAGCCGTGTGAAAAGAGGCCACTTTACATTTGATACAAAGCGTCAGCTGGTCTCATTCACAGTGCGCGGAACATGCTAAGCTCCGGACGTAGGGCTGGAAAGTGGCGCCTCAACGCGAACTCCCTCTCCTGCCCCGCCATCCACAAGGCTTTCACAGGCCCCGAGGAACACGCAATGGCTTGTCTTTTCCACCCCTCGTCTCCCCAGATGTCAAGAGATGTTGTTGTGGGGAACAGCTCGAGAAAAGCTCTATTCTCCTCACTCCTCCTCACCTGCCAAGAAGCCCCGGCCCACAGGTGCCTGGCGAGGCCAAGGAGCTGCCAGGGAGCGTCAGGCCATTCATGCTGGTTGAGAAGTGGCCTCCTCTGTGCCAAGTCCCAACCTTGGCAGCTCCGTCTGCAAGGCCTGGTTCTCATGCAGCACCTGTCTGCTCAGACCTCAAACCCCAGCTCCCACCCCACGCTTCACACAAACGCAGGTGACCCCGTGACCAGGGCCTCCCTTGGAGCCATGGTTCCTCCTCTGACAAAGCCCGGCTTGTTTGATTCACTGAGTCTCAGGGAGGTCTCGAGTCCCAGAAATAAGTGAAGCTGAGAGACTGATGAACTTATCCAAAGTGCTCTTTTTATAGATGGAGACACTCAGGCGGAGGCAGGAGCAGGACCTCGGAGAGCATCATCCGATCCAGGGGTTCTCAGCCCTGGCTGCAGTTAGAGGCACCTGGGGGAAACCGTAAAAAATGAGATTCTGATTTAAATGGTCTGGCAAGGCTCTCCCCTCAGTGGAGCCTGTGTTGAGAATCCCTGATGCCGTTCAACCCACTTGTTTCACAGACAAGAAAAACTGAGGTCCTGACAGAGGGGACTTTTGAGATTGTTAATCTTGTCCAATCTACCTGTTTTACAGATGGAAAAACTGAGGCCCAGAGAGGTTAAATAGAATCACACAAGGCTCCATAGCTAGTAGGTGATATCTTTTAGAATTTTGGGCAGTTTGACTTTGTCTCAAAATGGTTCTACTTCTATCATATCTAGTTTTATTACCATAAAGCCCTGCTCTAAATCCATCGTGTTCCCTATTGCTCAAGAAATAGAGTCTACATTCCTTAACATGGCATCCAAGGCCCCATCACAACCTGGCCCCCACTTACCTTTCTAGAAGTACCACCTTCATATCCAGGCAAGAGGGATCTCTGCCCTGGTCCCCTCCCTTTAGAGGCCTTCTTCTGGCTGTGTCCCTCCTCATGGGACAAAAAGTCCATAGGGTCTAGGAGACATGCTCACCCGGACCAGTGCACACCTCTTCCTTAGGTCTGTGTTTCTGAAAAAGTTAGTGCTTAGGATGCAACCCCGTAGGCCTTTCTGATTTTTGCCAGATCACTGGTATAAAAGTTATATCTCATTGTTGCTCTTAATTTGAATTTTTTTTTAATTAAAACTGTCTTAGTCCATTCAGGCTGCTATAACAGAATGCTTATAAACAACAGAAATTTATTTCTCACACTTCTGGAGGCTGGATGTCCCAGATCAGGGTGCTGGTACGGTGGGGTTCTGGTGAAAGTCCTCTTCTGGGTTGCAGATGGACTTTTCTTGTTATGTCCTCACATGGCAGACAGAGCAAGAAAGCTCTCTGGGGTCCCTTTTATAAGGACACTAATCCCATTCATGGAGGCTCTACCCTCATGACCTCCTAATATCATCACCTTGGGGGTTAGGATTTCAACATATGGATTTTAGGGGAGACACATTCAGTCCATAACAATTACTAGTGATTTTGAGCAGTTCATCCTATGCCTGTTAGCTTCAGTCAGCTCCAAATCCTCCCACTGACCTACATCCAGCCCACCTTTCTCTAGGGTTCTCCATGAGGACAGCTTGAGAGACCGGGAACCAGTCTGCTGATACCCAGATGCACTATGACGCTGAATAGTGGAGACATCTATGATGCCTCAGTGTTGGCCATTCCTGTCTATTCTCATCTCTTTGGGACGCCATCACCTTCCTTCTTGCCCCCCTGGCTCCCTGCTCTCCAGCTGCACTGGCCACGAACACGCAGAGCCATTCTGACCTCAGGGACTTTTGCCCCGACTCTTCCCTCTGCCTGCACCACTGACATTCTCAAAGCTCTTTCCCTCCCTCGAGTTTGTGCAAATGTCGTCTCATTGGTGACATCTTCTCTGTCCTTTGTATCTAAAGTAGCTCTTTGACTACTTTCTCACCTTAATTTTTCCTCTTAGCACCTCCCCCACCCAATCTGGCCAGTTACGGTATGTATTTACTTGTCTGTATATTTAGGTGCCACACATGTCACTGCTACATTCCAAGAGCCTGGAAGGGTGCCTGGTACATAGTAGGCACTCAATAGTCACGTGTTGAGTTGAATAAATTCTTATCAGTTCCTCCTACCTAGATACATTGACACAACACTTAATTGCAAACATTTATCAGTTCTCTCAGAATAGTTTTTAGATTAAATAAATAAGTCAACGTGGGGAGAGGCATTACAGAATGACAATTACAGAACCCACAAACAGTTGAATGAGCCATGGACTGAGTGGATTTCCTGTAGAGATTCAATTAGTTCCCTGGGGTCTCTGGTGCATTCCCCAAACTGACCGGATCGATATATTTCCAGATCTGGCTTTGAAAAAGATGGAAGTTTCTTCTAAACATGAGATTATTTCCTACAGTTTATATAGCACAAATTACTTTGGTTGTCTTGTATTGCTTCTACGGTTTTTAGTCCTAAACAATATTTTCTTATTTAGCAAAAATATATATTTCCATAAAAAGTGATCAGTTTTTAGGCTTAAAATTTTAGTCCAACACAGTGACAGACAATTAGAAAAGCACCCAGTCACAGTTGCACAAACTCTTTCTAAAAAACTCAACTCCATTTGCTTTCTCTGAAACTTGCAAAAGGAACAAAAAAGTGGTTAGGAAACAGTAGGGCTAGAATTCAGCCACGGCCATGTCTTTCTTAAAAAAAAAAAAAAAAGTCGGTTGGAGTGCCAGTTGTATAGGCTCTGTCCATTGTTTAAAAAAAAAAAGTTTAAACCCCAGGGTGGAAAAACTAACATTGTCACTAGGATATGAAGAAACCATGGTGAAGAACTAGCAACAGCGAGGCCCCGCAGAATGGCCGGCTGCGTCTGCTCCGAGAGCCTTTATCAG